GTTACTGGAAGATAAAAGCTGTGAATTACCATTTCCTTTTTTAATTTAGACAATATTTCCCTCATTTCTGCATGAATTTTTTTCTATTTAAACCATCTCCACAGCCTTCTTGAAATATATCTGCTTCTGAAGTCAGTATTCAGATAGCAATTGCATTAGTGTCAAATACAGAAACAAAGTAATTCCTTATTATTAAGACATTTCTGTTAATAGGTTAAAGATGAAGGCGGTTTGGTTTAGTTCTTTTGCCCAGTGTTATGCAGTGGGAACTCCATTTTAACTGGCCGTACCCTGTGACCACTGTGCCTTATTGCAAGTAGATACGATTTATCTTTCTGTGATAATTGCCAGTGTTCTTCATTTGTGTATGTTGATTTAAAGCCACGCTGCACTGAAATGCAGATGTTGGTTGCAAGCACTTGAGCAGTGCCCTTTACCCTCTCAGTGATACATCATGGTAACCATTTTTGGAAAGAGTCAGGTGGGTGGGAGAGACATATCTAGTGTAAAGATCCATGGGAAATTTCAAGTTGCTTGAAGCATGACAGTGCTTGAGTTTCAGACAATAACTGTAAGACGCTAGCACAAATGAAAGTAATTTTTCTGATTGCCTGAAGAACATTGGCCCTGGGTCTCAGCCCGAGAAAGAGGCCCAGCCTTCAAAATTTCAGCCTGGACTAACCCTTAGTAAGTTCTGCTTAGTACTAAAAGGTTTAACAGTTACTGTTTATTAACAACAAACTATGACTGGAGTTGCTAACAACTTTTTAATGAAGCAGTTATAAATGTGGATTAATTTCAGTGACTGCTAAAGGCACTCCAGTCTTGCTTAATGGAGGAAATGACAATTCTCCAAGTGTTTCCCTGTAACGAGCTTTTTGTATTTTAAACTGTTTTAAAGTGTAATTTAAAGGCGTGAACAATTTCAGTGATTTCTGAACTCTAAACACACTGTATTTGTAAATTTATGTTTGAGGTTTAATTTGTTCTTTAAAGAATTTGTGTACTGAGATTATTGTTACGGATGGCATTAAGTCATTGTAGTTCTGCCAACTTTTACTATTTCTATATATGTAAATATGTATTTTCAGAGCTCTCCTTAGATTCTGTGCATCTCTGTAGTACTGAAGGCTAATGCTTGTCTGTCATTCGGACGTGCAGTGACTGCTTTTCTAATAAATCAATGTTTATAAATGTAAGTGACTTAGATTTTTCAACTGGTGCTCTCCTCCATTATGTGGTTATTAACTTTCATATCTTTGACATAAAATACAGAGAGAGCAGTTTTTATATTTAACTTTAGGCAAGGCTATATAGCAACTATCCTCTCGTTCGAGAGATATGATTAGTAGAGTCATCTGAAACTTTTATACTGTCACTAATCTCACTTCTGTTTGAATCTTATTGCCATTAATTTAAATATTGTTATTCAGATATGAACATCTGCCTTCTGCAAGTACTGATTTTTGCTAATACAGAAACTGTTTAACACATCGGTCAAGCACTTTCTTAAAAACAGATGGATTGTGGAAAACAAAAGTAATCAGATTTGACTGTTGCAAGAGTTTAGATATCATGTAGACTGCATAAGCTTTTTACGAGGGAGGGAGATGAGTGTGTAAAGTGCTTTTGCTGATAGGTGGAGAACTCCTCCTTGTTCACTGGCTAGATGAAAACTCAGTTTTGTTTTGATTGTCAGCCTTCCGGCCAGCACCTTCTGTTTTTAAGTCCTGTCTAGCCAAGCACTAAAAAGTTCTTACAGCCCGGTGTAGCATTAGTAGCTTCCTTAAGTCTGTTTTGCATAGATAGGTGGTACTGACACACAAAAATGGGAGAATGATGAACTCTTTAGACTGATGAATTCTTTCGCTTATATTTTCAAGGGGATTGGGGTGGAGGGCGGTGTTGGGCGGTGTCAGGTTTTCTGTTTGTTTTAAGCTTTGAGTCTTAAGGGTTTGTCGAAAGCAGTTATTTTTGGATTTTGTATTTTGGAGCTTTAGGATTCTGGCATTCATCCAGTGCTCCTGGTGCTCATAAAAGCTCTTGCCAGGCCATATATATCAGTATGCAAACTGGATAGCCTTTTCCTGCTGCTTGCTTTAAGAATTTCTGTTAACTTTCTTATAAACAGCTCGGTTTCCTGTAGTAAAGATATTGTATCCATAGAAAGATGTTTGGACGACAGCAATATGAGATTACGAGGATGGATTAGCTTAGATGTGTTCAGACAGTGCTGTACATGCAGTGGAGATGTGTCTTAAAATGACTCCATTATGTCTAGCTAATTTACTAGAAAGTTTTTTGTTCCCTGGGATATCAGGTGGATTGACAGAACACACTTGATGACAAAATGCAACAAGTTTGTCATTCAACTGTTGCAGACTTACTGCTGTTATATTTAGAAACTACAGAAACTATTAGAAATATAAACATCTTGATAAAACAACAGATTGTCTTGAGCATTGTCTGAGTGTTCAGAGGATAATCTGAGAAATATATTTTCCTGCCTGAAATAAGATTACCTGCATGATTTCTGGGGGGTGAGGAAGCTGGAATGAAGCTGGAATTGAGTTAACTCTACCACTATTTAACTTTGTTTGTCCTTCAAAGATTCACTTGTTTGCCATATATGCCACAAGGGACAATATACTTAAGCTCCTACCAGAAGTCTGTTACATGTTTAGAATTTCTTGTTCTTCTGATCCATAAGATGTGTTGCTTATCTCTGTTGAATTCTGAGGACACTAAGCTGGTTATCCAACTTTCCTAGTTACTGTAATACAAGCATTAAACAAGTAAATGAAATTAATATTGGGGTTTTTTTTTGTTCAGGTGGGATGTCTCCAAATATGTAGATTCCTTATTTAAGAGTCTACTGAAGCTCACTAGCTTGAGTAGGTCTTGTTTTGTTTCGTGTATCACCATAATTAATAGTTTTATCAACTGAGTTTACACAGAATCACAGAATATTAGGGGTTGGAAGGGACCTCTGTGGGTCATCTAGTCCAACCCCCCTGCCAAAGCAGGGTCTCCTACAGCAGGCTGCACAGGACCTTTGTCCAGGCGGGGTTTTAATAACTCACGACAAAGACTCCCTGGGTAGCCTGTTCCAGTGCTCCATCACCCTCAAAGTGAAGAAGTTCTTCCTCATGTTCAGACGGAACTTCCTGTGCTTCAGTTTGTGCCCGTTGCCCCTTGTCCCGTCGCTGAGCACCACTGAAGAGAGTCTGGTGCCATCCTCCTGGCACCCACCCTTCAGATGTTTATAAGCATTTATAAGGTCCCCTCTCAGGTATGAATTGATTAACGCCTACTGTAGGATGCCTGTCCACACAATCTGTTGTGAAAGCTATAAGCCATTCTCAGCACTGCATGCCAAGGATGAGGGATGTGTGCTAAATCTTCACCTTCCCATGGATGGAGTTCCTGTGGAGTTCCTTGTGTCAGACACTGTAAACCTCTGACTCTGTAGGCTGGGCTTCCCAAATGCCGGCTTGCTTGGGTACAGTCAGCTCCAGGGTGGTCACTGCCCCCCTGCTGAGCCTCCCAGCCGGTGAGCTGTGGAGCAGCACCCTGCTGTGGGGTGGCACCCCCCTATGGGGCAGGGGCCTGTGTGGTGGTGACAGGGGCTGTGACTGCAGCTCAGGTAAGTGCTTGTCAAAAGGCACTTGCTGCTAATCAGGAACACAAGGGTGTGGAAGTACTTTCTGAGTATCAGGAAGTGCTCCTATAGAATACCTGGCAGGAGTTTGCTTACAGTTTTTTTGAGAATTCCTGCCATTCAGTCAGAAAAAGCAACATGTTATAAATCCTGCAATGTGTATTAACTATGTCTTTAGCGCACTGGCAGGCATCTGTGCTATACACTGGAGTGAAGCAGATCTCAACCTTCTCAGTTTTCTCCAATTCCTTTAACTGTTAATTAGCACTTTTGGAAGCAGGAAGAACCTTTTGTTCCGTGAATAGGTTTCTGAATTTTACCTGGCTTCAAGGGGGGCTGATTTCTGTAACAGTTTACACCACCGGGCTTCTTGAGACTTGGCTGACCATTGTGCTGAGGAGAGAAAATTGGAGACTGTATGTTCCTTCTGAGGAAACATCTGCTGCATTTGGTGTCTTGGAGTGTTAGGGTCTGTAAGGAAATCTATCTCTTGCTCTTCCCTTTCTAAAGCTGCCTTCTCCAGTAAGGCCAGCAACAGTTTTATTCATCTTAGCTCTTCATGTTCCTTTCTGTCACATTTGGTATTGGTTGGTTGCTTGATTTGAATAATTGATTTGCATGAATAAAAGCCTGTACTGCTCTAGATCTATGCTGTCCTTACTACATCTTCAGTGCAATAAACTGTTTAGTTCTTGTAATGTCTGAACAGGATCAAGTGGTGTCCTGCCTATACTAAATCTAGTTACTTGGACAATATTAACAAAATGTGTTTCAAACATAAACTTTCATTTTTAGGTTGTATCATGCAACTGGCAGTGTATTTTCTGATTATATCATATGTTGTTGCAGATTATTTTAAGATTCACATATCCAAACGTAAACCCCTCATGAAGTTTTTCTACTGCTTTAGTTTCTCTATACTTTCCATCTCTTGTTCATTTATAGTTAAGAACAATTAAATGTTTTCAACAAACTGTGAGACAGAGTGGACCAGTAGCAGCAGGGAATGGAGAAACAGGCATTGTTAAATGAGGTAATGAAATCTGTAATTAGTGGCCCAATGTTTCCCTAACAGTGGGAGATAACGATACGAATGCAAGTTGCTGTCTCTTTCAGTTCGAGAAGTTGCCACATCACTGTTTTCGTAGGAGAATACAGATGACTTATCTTTGGCTTCAGGCTAAACAGGGAAGAGAAATGTGGGCAAAATAAATTCATAGAGTTCAAGCTTCTTTAAGAAAAGTTTGCATGTTGTTCCAATCATGTGTCATTTACCTCTTTTAGCTGAAAAAAGAATATATGTTATTAATATTAACAAAATCTAATTTTACCTTCACAGATAAATTTGAGCAGTTTTGGGCAATAAATCGAAAACTCATGGAGTATCCTCCAGAAGATAGTGGATTTCGATACATCCCATTTAGAATTTATCAGGTAGGAAACAATGAAATAAAACACTTTTACCAAACTCTTCCACTGAGGTGTCATACATCATAATCTGTTTTCAGAATTACACGTTGCCTTTTCTAACATTATGGTAAAACTTTGTATACTCATCCTTGCTGGACCCTTGAGTTGTATGAATTAGCGAAGACCAAATAGATGGTATTTATTCTAATACGTAATTACCATTCATTATGTTGTAAGTGTGTAATACTTGAGAATGTGTTAAGACTGGTACAGATTAGGTTTGCTTAGGATTTTTTTCAAAAAAAAAGAAGCTTATTCTGTCACTAAAAATCGCTGATAACTATGAAGACTGCTTTGGATGCAAAATGCCCTCTGAAAGGCCTGAGTCAAACATTTCAGGAGCAACACATTTCCCATGATCACTGTAGGCTGCTTTTCTTGTTGGCATTCTAAGGTGAAAGTAATGGCATAGGTCTTGCATCTTGTTCTTATCTCTGTCTTCTAATCATATACTTTACAATTCAAAACTAGCTTTGAATATTTTTTCTTTTTTAATAGACCAATGCTGTTTTTCTTAGCAGTTTATTTGGAGACATATTCTGTAGAATCCTTGCAATTTTTCGATGTCCCCTTTAGTTTTTATAGCATTAAGGTCACGATGAAGTTTGGAATTAAATATGGTTAAAAGCTTATACAGAATTCATGTAGCCTCTTCAGAAATTAAACAGTTCTTCTCTGATTCATATTTGAAACATTTTCATCTATGTGCATTTAGGTTTTGCACCTGTAACTATCAAAAAAGTCCTGTATTCATAGTACTGAATAGTCTGTGCTACTTTGTATAAGTTTGTATGGTCATTAAAACCTGTTATAATCTTGCAATGGGACCAAAGTAACTTTTAATGTTAGATAGAAGACATTTACCGTCATAGTGAAACCTTAGATTGAGAACGGAAGTCAGTTATTTTGTCAGAGATCATAGCAGATGGCAAGGTTTGTATAAGTATCAAGAAGTATGTATCATGAAAAGTAGTTCACTCACAGTATTTTGTTTGGTTGGTAACCAAGTTGTTTGTTTGTTTGGGGTTTTTTTAAGTCTTTTCATAGAAGTCACGTAAATGGGTTTGCAAAATGGAAGTTTTGCTGTCTGAAGAAGATACAGACTTTTCAGCCATAAGGGAAATTTTCTGTGATATCACATGATTTCATGCTAGTAAAGCTTTTTATAAAAAAAGGAGGAAAAAAATATCTAACTCAGTAATATCTATTCCTTTAGCCAGTAGTACTTACCTTGATTCTCATTATCTTTTCAAATAGAAACCCTTACTTGCTGTAGTTTAAACGCAAAATATCTAACTAAGAATAGAAGACTAAACACAAATAAAGATGGTGCTGAGTGAGCCTTTGAGAAGGTTGGTGTATATTATTTTCAGTAATGCTGCTCTTAATATTTCTAAATATTTTCAGTAATGTTCCTCTTTTTTAAAAAGTAGATGCAGATCTTTCTAGCTTTTTTGTTTGGTTCGTTTGCGTACTGATTACTCATAAAAGTCTATGTATTTAAAGGGATTTTCAGAAAGTGTTAGGAAGTGTGAGATTATAATTTGATTCCAAGCAAGGAGTTAATTCCTGTAATTTTAACATAATTTTACAGTACTTAGTGACAGACTTGCATATGCGGAAGTAGCTGATTCAAAAGTATTCTTAAGATGTATTTAACCCCCACCCTGACTGCACTTAATTTCCATTAGTGCTGGGAGAAGTCAGCTTTGCATTCTAATTGGTTGCTTGCATATCTCTACATAAATACCTGAAAGCCAGTTCAGCCTGGGTTTGTATTACTGTGGAAGTTTATTCCCTGTGTGTTTTCACATGGTGTTTTTGTAGATAGTTAAGGATATACAGGTGGATGGCAGGAAATTACTAGGCATTGCCTTCAGTGGGGAGACATCCTCCTCTTAGTCTGCATACCTTCCATTACCCCAAAAATATTAGAAGGAAATTCTGTGAAGGGAACTTTCAGAAAGAAAGACACTAAAGATTGTGTTTTGGCAGTATGAGGTGGATGAATTTGTTTTCCTTCGAAGAAATATACTAGATTATGATATCAACTAAGAAACATCTGTTTTAGCAGTGATTAAATGTGACTGAGAAAAGTTGCTGCAGAAAAAACGCATGCAATGAAGTGATCTGGCATACTTTTCACTGAAGGCCTGATATTTTCGAAACTCAAAGGCTCGATCAGTTGTAAAGCTTGTCTATTAGAATACATTTCTAAAGAATAATATGAATCATACCTCGTGTGGTATCCAAAACTGATGGTGTGTGGGGGAGAAAGAGGTGGCAAAAATACGAATGTCGTACTTGGGTAAGTCAGAACTAAACTAACCACAGGTAATTTTAAAAGCCCTTGTCCAGCACCTCTTAAGAGTAGCAGCTAAGATTGGACCCAGAATGCTGCTGTCTACTGTAGAAGATGAAGCAAAAGACTGAGTATCACTAAGGATCAACTCATTTTCAATTTTAAAAGTTAGCTAAGAGATCTTGGAGATTTGACTACCAGTTGTCATAGTCTAAACTGTGTCGTATGGAACTTGCACCAGATGAACTCTTGACATAGGTGGAAACTTTTTCTACCAGAGATGGTTTAAAAATAGTGATTATATTTTTGTGACAAACACATCCAAAAAAAAAAAAATAAAGTGCCCCACTTTATTGCTTCAGGGCTATATGCTGCTGTGTCTTCAGCTGACAGTTGCATGAAAACTTTTTTACCCCTTGGTCTGATCGTACTGTTGCATAGAGTGATTTTTTCACTTGTTCTTTGATAACAAGAGAGAAAATAATAGTAATGTTTGGAGTATATTATACATTTAAGAGTGTTGCTTTTCTCGTACAGTACTAGACCTAATCTGGCTTGGGGACTTTTTCCCCATGTGTATAAGACCAGCTGGTTTTGCACTTTCTAATTGAACAAACTATATGGCTGATAGATGGCAGGAAGCTTTTGTCAGTCCTTGGCTCCAGGCACTGTGACGGGGCAGATTAGTCAGGCACCAGAGAGGAGTCTCTACATGGTGATGGGGGCTACCCTGATGAACTACTGTCTGCTGTCTTATGCTGCAAGTGGGAGCACTCTGAGTCTCAGTTGCTGTGCACTTAGTCTGCACTCACCCCCGAGTTTTGGTGTCTTGCTCTCTCCCTGTGTCTTGCTCACCCATTTGTTCTTGCTTGCTTTCTCCCTGTCAGTCTTCCTGCTTTCCTGTGGAGTCTCCCCTAGGAGTATATAGAATTTAAGGTTGCAAGTAGCAGCTCATTCTTGAGAATAAAATTACAAAAGTATGTGAAAGAAAATGCATTAAAACTATTCATGCCAAGTTCTGAGCTTTTCTAGAGTTGCCCTTGGCTTAAGGCAGGCTGGCTGTTGCATGTTTGCCAGTGCAAAGGGGGATGATCTGGGATTGCTTGTTTGCTTGTTCCTTTATTTGGGTACTGAGACATGCCATGGTATTGAAATGAACATTTCCTTTGCCTCTGTTTTCTAAGGGCGTCCCTTAAGACGTTGTGATTAAATTGTACAGTCACAAATTGTTAGGATGTTTATCTGCCTTAGTAAAGGGAGTGAAATTCTCCATACTTGGTAACGCATCGGTTAAATCCAACACTTTGCTCTTTCTGTCAAAGTTGCAGTACTGAGATGTCAAAATACGTTTAAATGTCTGCCATGACCTGTCCTCTAAAAATAGCAAGGTGGGAGGGGGAAATTAAATATTCTAAGACATTATTAATATCTGGCTCAATAAATGAATCAGAAGCCCAAGCATTGCCCTTTCCCAAGCAATGGAAGACAGTTTTATTCATATTTCCACATTAACTGGCAGAGTTCAGATAATCGGTTGTAAAACCCAATACAAATACGCAAATCAGTGTCACAGTTTGGCCCATGGTATGACAACTGATCAAAACAGATTGTTTGGAAGGATACTGGGTCCACCTGTAAAGTTTTCAAGTAATAATGTATCCATCTTTTTACGCTAGTGTGTTATTAAAATCTTTTTTGTTTTGGGTGGAAAGCCTCCATTTTATTTCAAGGCTGAGTTTGTCTGACTTTAACTCCAGTTTCTAGATTTTATTTTGCCTTACACCACTTTAAAGTCATCTGACTTTAACCTTCACATTTGTTTATGGAGTGATTTCAGCAGCTTCAGTTTTCTTTGGTAAGCTGAATCAGTTGAGTTCTTTAAGCCTGTTGTCATGAGGCTCGCTTACAAGTGCTGAAGTTGGTTTTATTAGTCGTCTTTTCAAACACTAGCTGATATTTCGATAATCCTCAAGATCAGTATTACAGTTAGGGAGAAGTAGAGGCCAAAAGTAAAGTTTATTTCGATAGGGTTTTAGATCAAAAATACTTCATTGGTGGGATAGAGGTAAAGTTAGCTACTGCTTGAAACTGCAAATCTGAAAGTTTTTATGAAATTGCGATGGTTTGTCAAGCAAAAAAAACCTAGAAAATGTAAGTCCTGTCGACCTGAAGAGGGCAACACAACACAGCAAGTTTCAACGTCTTGTTGGCTAGTGCAAAATGCTCTTGAATAAACTTGTGTATAATACCCTATTTAATTTTTTCTTATTTATTAAAAATGACAGTTTCATAGAGGACCTGTTGAAAATAGACCAGTTTATTTTTTAAAAAACTGCCTTTTACAAAGAGGAAGTTTGAATGAATAGGAAAATAATGTGAAATTATGTTTGATTTGTGTAACAGCTGTGCTCAGCTCAATTTCTGTGCTCAAAAGAGAAAATCTGATTCACCTTCAACCGACTACACAGAACGATTTACTCTGATGGTTTGGCATTCAAGAAACAATAGCACACTTTCACCAGATTTAAATTACTTCGAAATCAAAGCTCTATGAATAAGAAAGCTTAAAAGCTTTTTTAGGCAAATATTTTTCCTAGTGCCTCATTACTGGAGGGGCGGACCCCTTCCATCTGGTATTGCATATGAGCAGCATGATCCACAG